AGATGCAGTGTAACAGGCTGCTTTGTGCAACATCAGAGGCAATGAGACTGATTTGAGGGAGCTTGTGGTTTTTGAGTTCACCAGATAAATTCTGTCCAAGGAAAATACTTGAAAACACCAGTTTTTCTACAGTATTGGTATCTGTGATCTGAAGTTATCCTCCAGACATAACAGGAACTTCTAGGTGATTGAAGACCAGGGATTTGACATTTTTCATTCAAATAAAATGCATTTAGACCAATAAAATGTTTATAATGCTAAAATAACAGTTTACAAAGTTTGATTTCTATATGAACTACAGTTTATTTTTGCATTATTTTTTTGTCATTTGTGCAAAAAGAAAGTTATAACTTCTAGTAAAATGACTTAAGTTATTTCCATAGATGTAGTAAATTAATAAAACAAGTAATATAAATCATTTAACAATGCAAACATACGCTTGTAGGTTATTTGTGACATAATTAAGACCTTATGTTTGATTGTCCTGATTTGTGTGGCCATTCTTTTTTAATATAATAATAATTTGCTTCATTTTACAACAAATTCATACTTTAACATTTTCTAAAACACCTGTTGTCTGAAGCTACTTTCTCCTCCAGCTGAACTCTGTCCTGAAACAGGTGCATCAGAGAGTTTTTCCTCCTTGTACGACATACATGGTACTAGAGGCCACTGCAAATGTATTAAAAATATGAGTGTGTGACCTATTTAGGGTCACTCGGATGATTAAGGTGACCAGGAACCACTTAAGGGGGTCCAGAGAGTCATTTGTGGCCCCAGAGCCACTGATTTCAGACCTCTGGTATAGGCCATAAAACACTGAAGTAAGAACAGGTCTGAGATCACAATTATATATATATATATATATATATATATATATATATATATATATATATATATATATATATATATATATATGTTCATTAATACCACCTTAGATAGGCTTTTCACAGGTGAACAAAAGCATTTGATATATATATATATATATATATATATATATATATATATGTATTAAAAGAAAAAGAAAATGTATATTTTGTTTCATTTCTGTCAGACTGTTTTATTTTGTTGCTAATTTATTTCCTTTCTTTTGTTTATAATAAACTTTTACATATTCAAATGCTTTTGTTCACCTGTGAAAAGCCTATTTAAGGTGGTATTAATGAATTTCTGCAGGCCCCGGATGTAAACGTTTCTGTTTTTGTTTAGACCCGTTTTATTTTCCTCTCCATTCTCTCACAAAGCAGCTAAACTTAAAGCATGTTTAGCCTGAGATGCTGCTGAATGAGGAGAACTTAAGGGCCCCCCAAAGATTGATGGAGCCCTTAATTAAATGTGATTCCAGACCTCGGGGCTGTTTGTTCCTATCAGCTGATCTTTGTTTTTACAGAAATGGAAACAATGAGCCACAGTTTCAGTCTGAAGGCTCTTTCAGCTCTTTTTATTGCAGACGTCCATGTTAATTACAGAACTGTGTGTGCCACCAGGTGACGCTCCTGCTCCACAGCCTTGTTTAGAGGAAGCTGCTGAATTGCGTTACAGGTCCATGGAGAGTTTAAACTGCTGCTCAGACGCACACGCATCATCATCATCATCATCAGTTAATCTGATTTGATCCCTATTCAAGCTTAAATCTTTTATTTTATGACAGAATCTATGTCACGTTTGTGGCATTTCTTCATAAACCCTTTGCGCAAACATTTCATAATTAAAACATTAAACACATAATTACGCATGCTTGACCTCTACTCCGGTTAATCTAAAACTCTTCATCACTTATTGCTGCAGATTCTAGAAAATAAATGATAATCTCTCAAAATCATGTTGGGGACTTCGCGCTTTCTTCCAACGTGTCTCACGCTGAGCAACATCCCATCTGGGGACATTCACTTCTCACCAGGCAGCTCTTCCAAATGTCTGCGCAGTTCATTATTTCTGGACCTTTGACACCGCCGGTGTATGGGCCGAGAATTAAAAAGGCGTATTCCCAGCACGCTGAAAAAGGCACGCAGTGCGCGGTGCGCGCGTTGAATATTCAATTAGAGACTTAGGGAGAGTGAAGCTGCGTGCCAGTCCTTCATCCTAAACTACTGATTAGCTGTTAAACAGATTATATACAGCTGAGTGGGTTCAAATGTTGCAGCAGAAACCAGCCGGAGTTCAAGGCAGCGACGGGTTGTTTCCACTCTAACCAGCGGAAACACTTTGTCCACATCAGCAGCTCCATGAGGAGGCACGCTGCGGTTCCGTTTTAGGAGCAGCAAACATTTTAGAGGACGTTCAAAGTGTCCCCGGCAGCCCGAGAGGGAAGTCCGAGCCCCAGCCGCAGTGTAGATTCATCATTTGGCTGGTTTCCAGCTCCTAATGCAAACTATCTTTTCTTTTTTGTGCAAATTTTAAATCTCAGAACATAAACTTCCCCCTGGTTTCCTCTGAAAAAATCTCAGATTTAGTGAAAGAACTGTGCGCGGAGTTAACATACACAAAATGTTTTAAAACATGTTTAGAGTTTTAATGTTATTTGTTTAATTCACATGGAATTATTCTTCCTTTATTGGGAATAAACTCGATCCTCTGGTTTTAGTCTGTTGTTCCAGGAGGTCTGAGGCATCGTTCTTATTCTCTTTTAAAACTATAAACAAACAACTTTTATAAAGCATTTGGTTTTTTTAAAGCTAAGGTTTTGTTAAGGTTTACCACTCATTTCATGCAGCTGAATAAGTTTAAAGTAGTTGAATGTGCAGTGCCTTAGCAAGCCACGCGGGTCCAAAGAGCTCTCATTGAGAAGCCACGTGTCCGTTTCCAAAGCCTCTCCAACTTAACCACCTCCTTTGTACGACTAACCCACATCGGCAGCGTCCCTCCACATAAAGGGATTTGCAATTTCAAGATATTTCAGCCTAAATGTTTTTGACAGTTCCCTCGCTTTTACTTCGGCTTGGTTATTTTAACTGTGCCAAATGGGTCACCTTGGGTTGCTGTCTGCGCGCAAAGGGCTTTTGCGCGCATTCAGTCTGAATTTTTTTCCAACTTTCCTTGACGGGGAAACCAGCTGCTGGTCGTGAAAAGACGGCTTATTAATTGTCCTTTGTCATGCAGAATTGCTTGATTTCTAAAGAAACGTACAAAGGCTCTTTTTCAGGATTCAAGTATTTTGTTTCGTGCGTATTTTCAAACCATCGAATCAGCTGCAGCGCCGCGCCGTCTACCAGACTCTCAGGTACTGACTGCCTGCTCCCTTTGTCCCCTTTTAATGCTGTTGTAAATCGTGCAGACTGATTTGTTACAAGCTGTTCTTTTAATCTGATAGATAAGAGACATGTCAAAGAAAAGCCGTAAATAAAAAATTAGCCGGAATAAAGACAAGGGCGAGTCTGCTAGATGGGCGCCTGTTGACTCAAGCGGCTCTCCAGCGTCAGGGGAGCCCTCTCCTCAGCTCTGTCAAGGTTACGTCCACAATTCCCTTTTCTTCTTTTTAAAAAGACACCGTAGTCCTTTTTGCTTCAATGAATTGATCGGCACAAAATTAAGAATAAATAAATTGAGCATTTGGAACAGCGAGCGTATAAGCTCCCCCAGGGCGCATACCCGGGGGCTATTGAATGGATAAAGGGCGCTTTGCAGAGGACGTTGTGAGGAAAATGGGGCTCTATGGTCCAATTAACAAAATAGTCTAATCCCATATCTTAACAAATGCAAATATTAGAGTTTTGTTAAAAGTGTTTAAGTGAACAATTAAATGAAAGTTTACTGGTGAAACTTCACGTCCAGAAACGCACCGAGGCTGTGTTCTCGCTGTTTAAGAATAAATTTTCCTCTCTTTGAAAAGCTGGAAGAGACGTTAATGTGGTGGGAAATATCATTTGAACCCCAATCAACAAAATAAATATCATTTTATTCATCAAATGTTAGTCAGAAAGCATCTGCAGCGGTGCGTAAAAGAGCCCAACCCAACTGAAACTGGCCGTTCCACTCCGAGGTTTGTTTGTTTTATGTTGTTTTCAGCAAATAAAATATTTTTACATTTTATCTTTTTAATTAGAACATTCATAAGAATTTATCTGAGACAATAACTGCCCCTTAATTTACATTTAAAAATAATACTGATTTCAGGATGGTGCGTATTTTTAAACTTGGCGCAGCACGTTGATTTCTCTTTAAGATTGAAATGATATCTAATAACATTAATTAGATAATATGATGTTATGTTTATTTAACAATAATGTCAGTTCAGCTGAAGGTGTTATGAGCTCTAAATGACCCGTGCAGCTCATAAAACCGACAGAAGACCGGTGCGCTGACAAAAGGAACAATCCGGGTCATGGACACCAAACTGCGCGCTCGCCTCATTTGTTTTCATGTTAGATCAATATCCTAAGATTTGCGTTGTGCCAATGAGTCATTGTACACTCACAGAGACTATTAACTCTCTCACACGAGACAGATCATTTCAGCTGGGATGAAACTTAAAAAGGGCTCCAAAGGGCCGGGGCCAGTCAGTGGTCTCAGGGCTGAGCTTCCCCCGGGAAAAGCACACAAGAAGACCCCATAATAACGCTTTTGTGACTTTGGAGTGATAGGGATTATTTAGATTTTAAATTATTAATGCATATTTGGAAATCTCCCTCCCACAAGCGCGTTTCGTTGCCTGTTGACTCCGCCGTGCTTTGGAAAAGGTGGGGGAAATATTTTAGTGGCATTTGTGATTTTGTTGGTGGACACGTCTCGCTCTGTGACAGAATATTTAATAATTACTTTTGTTTGCTCCCAAATAAAGCTTCATGCCAGATTAACACACGTAAAATACGCGCGCCTTTCCAAATGTCGCCACAAACAAAAGTTTCAGTTACAGATGTGAAAATAATATATGTCACATATGTATTCAAATAAATCCACAAGTACTTGGTTGGTTTTCATCTTTTTGCCCCTTTAGTTTTATGTGCAATCCACAAAAGCTGAATGTTTGTGCGTAAAGTGCGCAAGTACACTTATCTCACACGTACGACTCAGAAATAATTTTATTTAAGCCTCAACATCTTAAATAAATAAATTAGCTATTTCTCCAATTACACTGAAGATATAATTTCAGAAGTGTCTCGGTCACATTTAAGGTGAAGTACAAAATATTCCCCCCCCAAAATACTACCGAACATTGTTTTAGGGGTTTGTCTTTACAAAGATGCTCAACGGATTGGCAACAACAGTGAACAGTTTTCAGAAAAAAAAACTACATAAAAAACGTACAACGTGTATACAGCTATACAATAACTCAGAGAAGCTCTCTGATTAAATATCTGTTTATGTACAAACGACCGAACACAAGTGGAACAGTCACGTCTTTCTCGTTATTTGGCAGCATTTACAAGAGTTCAGGGGACAGTTCACGGGGAAACGGACAAGTCCACGTCCTCCTTTTCGGATGAGGAGGGAGACACAGGCATGTCGTCGTCCTCCTCCTCCGAGCACCTGGTGGCCGACAGGGACGAGCATTTGCAGCTGTGTGATCCAGTCCTTTGGCCGCTGCTCTTGCCCTCCTTTTTGTGCTTCACTCTGCGGTTCTGGAACCAGATCTTCACCTGTTTCTCTGACAAGTTCAGGTACGTGGCGATCTCGATGCGCCTCAGTCTGGATAGGTACATGTTGGAGGTGAATTCCCGCTCCAGCTCCAAAAGTTGCGTGCTGGTGAAGGCGGTGCGCATGCGCTTGCTGCTCTGAAGTTTTCCGTTGCTGCTTTCTGTTAAAGTTAGAATAGGACGTCAGCAACAAGAACATCTGGAAACAGAAAGATTTGACAACGTTTTATTCTAAATGAGGTGTTAAAGGCGTTTCACTCACCGATGGAGATGCAGTGGAACTGCCGCGGGTCTGGAACCGAGTACGCAGCCTGGTAAATGCCCGGTCCGTGGCTCAGGTTCACGCTGTTGGAGGCAGAATGCTGCCTGGACAGAGCAGAGTGGCAGTACTGTGAGCTGAACGGAGGAAAAGACGCTTTAAGGAGTGGCAGCGCTGGTGGAGAGGGATGGAGCTGGGACGCGGCCATGCACAGCGGGCAGAAGCACAGCAGCCCGGCTTTCCTGGAATGGCAGGAGCCCGGCAGCGCGTGCGGGTGGTGCGGCGAGTGCACGGCGTACGGGAACAGAGGTGGGTTGTTCTCGTTCCCCTTCTCGTTGGCCTCCCTCAAAATCAAAGAATCCACGAGAAAAGACCTCGGCATGTTTGCAAACTTGTTGCTCTGCGTGGCTGAAGTTGGAGTCGCGATGCGTCGTTGCGTCAGTGTGCGCTCCTGGAGACGGTGGACAGCGAAGTGGTGCTGAAGGCGCACAGCCTGCCTTTAAATAGCCACGGTGGGCTCGGTTACGCTATAAGCGGCAAGAGCTCTCAATAGGGTTTTGTGCCTTTCTCCAGGCATTCCCACTGCACGCTTCCCCATTATTTCACTTGTTAACTAAATGAACTGCATAATGTAGTCTATTCTTGTCAGCCCCACCCACGCCGAGAGAGGCGGCACTGCCCATTCTCCCTTTTATCATCACTCTCATTTTATCACAGAGAAGAGCTTAAAATTTGCGGGAGAAAACGTTTGGAAAGTTAAAATATAGTCAGGTTTGTCTTCCTTAAAAGGGGAAAATTCTAGAACTGCTATACAGCACGCGCCAGCTCACATCAGCTGCTTGGACTCGTGTGAGTTTAGCAATTTTGTCAAAGATTGAAAGTGATCTTCCTTAGAAACATTGTTGGACTGATGAGCAAACGACTAGTCTGAGAAGAGCCAGGACCACTGCATGTCATCTTAAAACAGCTCATTGACTATTTTTGTTAATGCAAACGTTATTCAAATGGTCTTTTTAAGTATTAATTTATGCTTACAACGTGTTTCTAAAACACCTGCAGCAACATGTGACACTCCAGGAGCATCAGAGTCCCGCTGTGATTTGATTATATTTTTGCCTAAATGATGATGTCACAAGTCAAGTAAACAAATGTGGAGATAACACACACAATTGACATTTTGTGGCTGTTTTAGGTTACCAGATTTGATCTTGCCAAGTTCAGTCTAGCAGTTAGCTCAGCAATCCTCCCATATAGCCTCAGGCAGTTCGGGAACCTTTGAACAAAACGAATCATTTGGCAAAACCGATTTAATGTCATTAAACTTGCAGGTCAATTCAACTGCGAACCATCCTTTTCGTCTGGTTTTAATAACTCGTTGCAGCTCTTGCGCACCTGTGCGCTTCCTGAGCGCAAACACAAACGCAACAGCTGAATGTAAAGTTTATGCATATCCGTTTTAGGGTTCATGTGTCATTTCTGCGCACGAAAAAAGAACAAGTCATTGCCTGGAGGCAGCGCTGTTAAAGAGCAGTGATTAATTCCTTTGCTCGGGCCCCTGCCGAGTCGTGAGGAGGGAGCGAAGAATATGTAAAAATAACCAGGTTTTCACTCTGCGGACCTTATTGAATGTCATTGTGGAGGGCTTTCAATGAGAGAGAAAGAGAGTCGAATTAAAGTGTGTGACAGCGGCGGATAGACGCAACAAAGGCGGCTCTGTCACTGAGGAGCCCTGCGCGCTGCGCGTAAAGCCCCCGCCTCGCGCTCCGATTGAATTAAGTAATAGGAAAACATTTTCTTTCACTTTAGGCATTTTTCAACAATATCTTCAAAGGAGCACAAGTCGTACTGTGTCAGTAAATTTAGTAATGGGATTTATTTCTCACAGAACTGCTTCTTTCTTAGACAGAAAACGTTTTTTATTCAGATTTTTACTCGTTTCCTTTCATTTCTCGTCAATTATCTCCATTTTGGATCATCAGCTCCAGAGCTCTCACACACATCCGCGTGATGCTGTTGTCGTCAAGTAAAAGAGGCCAAATGCTCCGAGACTTGCACCAGTGATCTTCCACACCTGTAATTAGGCCATTAGGCGCAAATTAGGAGCAGTTATCCAATCATCAGAACAAAAAAGCTGCCGTGTTCACAAATCTTTTTATTAGCCGTTGCTTTCATCTTCCTGCAGCCACTTAATAAAACGCCAATCATCTCCCAAACGCTGAAATTCTATAGCAGTTAAGATGTTTCTTCCATTCTGATTTTAATCGGATAATTAGGACAAATTCTCTGACAGATCTTGATCAGAATCGAGGGTTCAGATTTCTGAACATGTTTTGCGCGCTCACGGGGGAAGCCCGGGGCCTACTGCTCAGCATAAATATGTTATCAAAGGCCCTAATTTTCAAATGATGTACACAGCAGTCATCCCGCGGGTAGGAATGGAGGTTCCACGGGTCGTCACGCGGGGAGGCTCATCCTAATTTGCAATCCCAACTGGAGACTGACAAATAGTTTTGACCTCCCTCTGGAGGCGCTGGGTAGAAGTGCAAAAGGCTTTCATTCTCTGCACGGGATCTACAAATGCACAGAGGGGCCCCTCACTTCTGCACCTGCACCAGCTTAGAGATGATAGATAGATAGATAGATAGATAGATAGATAGATAGATAGATAGATAGATAGATAGATAGATAGATAGATAGATAGATAGATAGATAGATAGATAGATAGATAGATAGATAGATAGATAGATAGATAGATAGATAGATAGATAGATGATAGATAGATAGATAGATGATGATAGATAGATAGATAGATAGATAGATAGATAGAGATAGATAGATAGATAGATAGATAGATAGATAGATAGATAGATAGATAGATAGATAGATAGATAGATAGATAGATAGATAGATAGATAGATAGATAGATAGATAGATAGATAGATAGATAGATAGATAGATAGATAGATAGATAGATAGATAGATAGATAGATAGATAGATAGATAGATAAGCTGATCCTAAAAGCACTCATGGAAACAGATCACATCCATAGTTCTGCTCCAACTCAGAACAGTCCATGGCAGCGTACAGCTGTGTGCTCCAAAGCTTCTTACCATAAACGTTTGAATCCCCCCACCCCCCCACCCCCCCCACCCCCCATATTGTAAATTATTTATAAGATATTAAGTTGGAACAATCGCCATCACTCACGTCCATCCCGGATGATCACACTGACCATGTGTTGCTGCTCAAGCACATTTTCAGGGGCTTTTACGCAATTATACCCAAAGATCTCGTGCCTGATGACATAAAGAGAGCAGTCTGTTTATGGAGATGTAGTCAATATCTCCTTTTCTTTTTTTAAATGAATAATTCATAGTTTAAGACACTATCCCCCCTCTCACTTAATATGGACACACACTTAAACACCCACACATCTCTAATACAAACGATGGTTTTAGCTGACAGTGTAACAGGATTTAAGGTCCCAATGGGGCTCGGCCCAGCCGTGGATGGGCGCTGTGACTGTCGACGTGACACAGAGGGCCGGCTGCCCCCCCAGCTCCACCTCCTAATCTCCCCCTGAGGCAACATCACAGACTGCAGATCCCACTGCACCTCTTTGGAGGCACAAAGGCCTGATTATCATTCATATGCTCAGCAGAAACACCAGTCCAATAGATAACAGATGACACACAAGTACCAGCTGAATGGAGCAATATGTTCAAAGCTGCTGGAGTCTGCAGGGACTAATGAATCCTGAAGAGATGGGAGTTGGACAAAGCAGCCGCGGCTTGAGGGAGCATAAAGTGACAGATATAAGGCTCCACAGGTGAAAGCAGACGTCAGTTACACTCAACAAATCAGTGACAGCATCCAAGGTCCGAGCACAGGCTGACTGGTTTCAGTGGAGCCAAATAATAACGGTTATAATGGTTACATCTGTACTGGAGGTCCTTCACATTTTACTTCTCATTTCAGTCAGTAAAGATAATAAACCAATTTTACTTTTGCATAACATGAAGCATCTAAATGTGTATGTTTTAGTTTAATATAAAAATTGTATCACGTTTGTTAGTTGCTTTATATTGTTGACATTATGTGAGGTGGATAAAAACAAACTTGATCATTTCCACGTTTAGAAAATTTTAATTAGAAATATGACATGAAAACATAAATTCACTTTGTTTTGGTTATTTCCATTAGTTTTGAAAGTTGTTTCTCAATTTTAAAAGATGTTATCATAATAAAACCATTAATAATAATATAATAATAATAATAATAATAATAATAATAATAATTATATAATAATAATAATAATAATAATAATAATAATTATTATTATTATTATTATTATTATTATTATTATTATCATCATTATTATAACAATTGTCTGTGGAAGTCATTACCACAACTCATTAAGGAGTCTCCATCAGCTGACCTGTTTAAGGCTTATGAGGCATATTGTCATTTCATTGCTTTTAGGGATTATTAATTTATTATTGTATTTGCTATGATTGGTTTTTAATCATGCTATTATTTTATTCTGTTTGTAGTTTTCAGGATTCAAACTTTATTTTTTTAAATGTTTTTTGCTTATGTTGAGCACTTTGGCTACAGCTATTTGCTGCTGTAAATGTACTATGTAAATAAAACTGACAATAATAATAGTAATAAATTATTACTATTATTATTATTAATGTTGTTAGTATATAATAATAACAATAATAATAATAATAATAATAATAATAATAAGTAGTTTAAATTTACAAATTTTAACCCCAGGGTGTTATTGTGGTAAATAACGAACGTATCTTCTGTTGTTACAATTTTCAAATATATTTATTTTCATGCAGATAATCAGAGAAAACAAGCGGATCAAATATGGCTGCTGGTCCTGTTCTGGTCAAATAAATCCCAAAATAAAAATATGAGCAAGTTAAATGAACATTACTTTTTATCAATATAGATAATAATAAGACACTTTAAAATATTCTAGCTAATTTTAGAACATTATTTCACTGTAGATTAATACAGAACATGTCACAATTATTAAATAATATACTTTTATAAAAACAGATTATTGTAGTTTTGTAATATTTTAGAAAAGTTATTGAACAAAATACACTATTTCTGATTAAATATAGATTATTAGATAATTTTATATTGGAGGGTTTGCCTCAGTGTCTTCCTCCTCTTCATCGTCATCACAGATGGTGAGATTTGCTGGCACAATAACTGTCATCATCCAATAATATGATTGTTATTATTACTGTTACCATAATTATGAAAATTAAGACTAAAACACAACAGATTTTACTTAAAATATTCATGATTTCTTTTTCTTGTTCAGGTCGTATAATCAAATATGGCGGAACAGATTTCACCAACTTCGTTGCGTTTAACATTTACAACACCTTTATCCTTATTTAGCACAACAAGTCAACGTTGTGATGTGAGAGTTTCATAAATGTTAGTTTTAGAGATTTGACCGTAAACACGACATGAGACCGAGGAGTTTTCTGGCTCTGCAGACACACCAATATTCATCGTGTCAAAGCTCCGTGCTGATTGGTGGAATGGTGCCATGGCGTTAAATGTGACTAACTCTGT